GGACCTCTGCACCCACCTTGCTTAGATGCGGCCTCTGCTCGGGGGGCTGCCCGCCGAGGGGCGCGGGGCCGGCGGCCATGGCAAAGGCAGGCCGGGCGCGGCGGCGAGGGTGTCCGCGCGCCCCGCCCCGCTCCGACCGCCGCCCCGCCCCGCCCGCGTGTTCACCCGCAGCGGCCTCGAGGTCTGTGGCTGGGGGTCGCGCGGGCGTCAGAGCATCCGCCTCACGACAGGCTCCCTTCACGACACGAGAAACCGATGTCTGTGGGGACTTGCCTGGCGCTTCGAGGGGGGCTTATCCCTACCCGGGCAACGTGGGGGATGAGAGAACCGGGCTCAGCTGGGACGCGGGTGGGGGAGGTTCAGAGATGGGCGAGGACTCCGAGAAAGGCTGGGCTGCAGACACGGGAGAGGACTCTGGGAGAGGAGGGTCTCCGGCGAGGAGACGTGGGGGAAGGTGGCCTCGGTGGGGGACCCCTCCTCCATACCTGCTGGGTGCCGCAGTGGTCAGCCATGGGGGGCTGTGGGGCCTGGGTGAGGGGTCGAACGGCCCGAGGCGAGTGTCCCTGCAGTTGTGATCCTGTGCCTGACCCCCGTGGTGCTCCTGGGCTGGGGGGCACTGCTGCGAAGGTGTGCAGGAGGGGGTCCTTGAGGCTTAGGGAAGACTGCAGGTAGCATCCTTCCCCTCAACTGCACAGGGGCCTGAGGGGGCCTTTGGAGAGCAGAGACCCCACCCAGGTTACCCTGAGGCTGTGGGAGACTATGGGAGGGGCCTTTACTGCAGAGGGATCTCAGCACCTGCTCCTGAGATTCGTGGGCATTCTCTGGGCTGAGGGCCCAGCCTGGCCATTTCTCTCCCTCCTCCAGCATCTTGGCTTCCCACACCCCTTTGCTGGGGCCTTTCTAAAGTGTGCAGACAGGTCTATTTCTGTTTTTTAGGTGCTGGGGGGTGGGGCAGGATGTTGGCATTGGCCTTTGGCCAGAAGCCTCAGTCATGGCGATCTGAATCCATTTCCACTGCTGGTGAAACCAGGTCCAGGATGAGCTGGGGAGGGGCCTGGGAGGGGGCTCCTACCCCTCCAGGCATCACTCTCCCCTAGATCCTAGTGAAACCCACCCACCCAGCCCCACCCACACAAGTCAGATCAGGCTGACCACAGGCCTACTTAGCTGTCCTCTTCCAGAGAGGCTGAAAGCCACCAGAGGCCAGAGCTGTCCCCGGTCTGGGGACGAGTGGCCTCCTGGGCCCCGGCGGTGGGGGAGGTGGGTGGGATGTGACCCTGGAGGGGCTGGGGAGATCCTGCCTCAGAGAGATTGTGGGCAGGTGGGCTCCAGGGGGTACGTCCCCACCCAGCCCACGTGCCCCCAGCACCACGGCCTGCTGGCCTCCTCCGAAGATAGAGGCTCCTTTGGCCAAGGGCAGATCTGAGACTTGGGTGTCCTCAGAAATGGGGCGGGAGGATTCCGGGGTGTAAGGAAGCAGGGGGACTCCAGCTGGTGTTCTGCCCCCCCCCCCGACGCTGATGTACAGCCCCAGCCTGCGGTCCAGCTCACCCCGCCCCCACCCTGCTGACCCCCATCTGCCTGCTGCAAGCTCTGTTTAGGCATCAAGACCAGAGACCCCTTCTGTGTCCCCTCTCAGCTCCCCACCTCCCTATCCTGTTTTGAATCAGTCCCTTTTCTTCCCCCACCAAGGACAGGGGCTTCGGGAGCACAAAGGCCTCTCCACCCAAGCCGCCCTCGCATAGCCGGCTCAGTAAACACTCGCATCGTGGCTGGGTGCCTCACTGTGTGGGGGACCCCGACCCTGTGTGTGGACGCTGGCCCGTCTGCGCTGATGCCGGTGAACCTCTGGGGTGCACAGCACCCCTCACCCCCCTGATGCTGGGCACACTCCAGGGGTCCCCTCTGCCCAGAAGGAAGCTCCAGAGGGTGTGTGTGTGGGGGGGGGTGCCCAGGTGCGGCCTGCGCTGCTGGCAGGTAACAAGAGCCTGGGGACTTGGGGGGGGGACGCACCTGCTCCCCTCGGCGCCCTGGGCTCCACCCGCCCCGCCCAGAGGGCTTCCCCGGAGACTCCCCAGACTCCAGGCGGCGCCGCGGGGGTGGGGCCGCCCTGATGGGCAGAGCGGGGTGCAGGCGGGGCGGAAGGCTGGGACCGTGACCACAGCCGTGTGCGTCTGTGTCCGCGGCGGCCGTGCGGGGTCCGGGTGCGCCCGCGGCGGGGACGACCGGGTGCCGGCGCCGAGCGGGCGACAAGCGCGTCTCTGCGGGGCTGCGCGGGGTCCGCGGAGCGGCTGGGGGCGCGCGGCGCGGGCGCGGCGCTGGGCGCGGGGGGCGCTCCCGGCCGGGATGAGCTCACCGCAGTCGCGCCGGGGCTGAGCGCCGAGCCGGGCGGCGGCGGCGGGGCGGGCGGCGGCTCCTCGGCGGCTCGGCGGCGGGGCCGGGCCGCGGGCCACCATGCTGGGCCTGGACGCGTGCGAGCTGGGGGCGCAGCTGCTGGAACTGCTCCGGCTGGCGCTGTGCGCCCGAGGTGAGCGGCCCGGCTGGGGCCAGGGCGGCCACGTGGGCGGGGGGCTCTGGGCGGGGGCGCTCAGCCCCGGGCAGACCGGCTTCTCCCCCTCGGAAACTTTGGGGGCGCTCTTGGGGACCTTGCGGCGCGGTACCCCCGCCGCGCTCTGGAGAGGGTGGGGGGCTTCTCCCAGGCTAGACAGTCATGGGGCAAGGGGCCAAGAGGGGGCGGGTCTGCTTGTGAAGCCAGGACCGCAGGGGGCCCCTCTCCCCGCGGGAACCTGCCCCTGAGGCCCGCTCTCCCTTGGGTGGGGCTCGTGCCCCTTGGGGGGTTGAGGAGCCCGCAAGGACCGGGGCACAGTGGGCAGGGACTCAGAGACCCGGCCCCAGGGCACCATGGGGGCTGGCTCCTGGGACTGTGCGAAGGGCTGGGAGTGACCCCCGTTAAGGCCCAGGGACGGGGCTCAGCTGAAGGGGTCTGGAGGCACCTGGGGCGGTGGCCTCAGAACATAAGCAGAGGCGTTTGGAGAGAACCACCCCTACTCTTCAGGAGCATCGTGTGGGGGAACCCCTGCACCCTGGGGAGGCATTCAGGGAAGCCAGCTCCGGGCAGTGTGGCAGGGACCCAGATCTGTCCCAGAGCATTGTGGGAATGGGGCCCAGGGGCCCTGCAGGGCGTCGGGGCACAGCCTCTGCTCCAGAGATCTCAGTGGTCACCACTCTGCAGTGTGGACCCCAGCCCTGGGGCTGCTCCCCATCTGGGCCCTTCTCTCTCCTCACCTTTGGCCTCAGAGTCAGGGAGGGGATCTGCATGAAAGGTCGGGCCAGGGGAAGGCATCTGGTGCCTCCAGGGGTCCCTTGCCTCGTCTCTGGGAGCCTCCTGCACTAGCCAGGCCCCTCCTGAAGAGGCTGGGAGTAAGTGCTGGCCTGCGTCTTCCTGCCCACCCCGCTCCCAGAGCCCTCACAGGCTGCCTCTTCAGTTCCCTCCTTTGGGCGGTGGGAGGTCCAGCTGGCCATATGGCAGACTCCAGCAAAGGCCAGGGTCAGCTGGCAGCAGCTGCTCACACGGCCTCCCCAAACCCCAGTCCTCCTGACCGACAAAGAGGGGGGCCAGCTGCCACCGGAAGAGGCGCTGGACGAGGCCGTGCCCGAGTACCGGGCCCCGGGGAAGAAGAGCCTCCTGGAAATCCAGCAGCTGGACCCAGACGACGAGAGCCTGGTCAAGTACAAGCGGGCCCTGCTGGGGCCTGTGCCGCCCGCCGTGGGTACGCCCGCGCCCTGGGCCTGGGGGGAGGGCGGGGCAGGGGCACCTGTACACTCCCGGTTTCTCTTCAGATCCAAGCCTGCCCAACGTTCAGGTGACCAGGCTGACACTGATATCTGAGCAGGCCCCGGGGCCCATCATCATGGACCTCACAGGTAACTCCCAGATGAGGGGCGCGACCCCAAGCCCCAGGCAGGGACCTCACAGGTAACCTCTGCAAAATACGAACTGATCTTTGGGGTAGAGACCTGGGCTCATCACTGTGGACCTCTTAGGACCCAATTCCAAGTCCTCAGACTGCAGAACCCACAGATACAGGCCCCCCATGGGGGCTCCAGGCTCAGGGTTTCATCCTTACAGGAGTTGACGCTTAGCTGCACTTTCCCTAACAGGGGAGTTGGCTGCGCTGAAAAACCAGGTGTTTGTCCTGAAGGAGGGTGTTGATTACAAAGTGAAGATTACCTTCAAGGTGAGGGAGCTGTCATGGGGGACACCAGCCAGCCCCAGGCCCAGCCCCAGAAGTTCCCATTAACACTGTCTGTCCCTCAGGTCAACAAGGAGATCGTCAGTGGGCTGAAGTGTCTGCATCACACCTACCGCCACGGCCTGCGAGGTGAGGGTGGGGTGCTGGGGGCACGGGGGCGGGAGGGACTCGGGGGGAGGGCAGAGGGCAGTCCCCAGTGCGTTCGTTCCCCCGCAGTGGACAAAGCCGTCTACATGGTGGGCAGTTACGGCCCGAGCGCCCAGGAGTACGAGTTCGTGACTCCGGTGGAGGAGGCGCCCCGAGGCGCGCTGGTGCGGGGCGCCTACGTGGTCACGTCCTTCTTCACCGATGATGACAGGACCGCCCACCTGTCCTGGGAGTGGGGCCTCCACGTCTGCCAGGACTGGGAGCGCTGAGCGCCCCGCCCCGGGGCCTCTTCCCACTGGCCTCCCCGCCTCTGTCAGCTGCTGCAAGGGAGCTCTGAGCGTTCCCCGGCCCCTCGGTGACCAGACCCCCACCCTCCGTCCTGTCCCGGGATGCCCCCCCAGGCCTGGCACTGTGCCCTGAACGGTCCTATTAAATGTCGCTCTGTGTCGGTGCCCGTGGTGTCGCCTGTCTGCCTCCCTCCCCGGGCGGGGGGGCTCCTGGCCTTATCTCTCCCGCGACCAGGCCTGGGTGCCACGTGGCGGCCGCTGCTTGGCCCCCCGCCCCCTTATCTGCCCCCGCCCCAGGGGCCCCCGCACCGCCATGGACGGCCAGCTGCTGCCGGTGCTGCTGCTGCTGCTCGGGGCCTCCGGCCTGTGGGGACAGGGGCCAGGGCCTGGGGGTCCCTTGGAGGAGCCCCCCGAGGAGCAGCCCCCCGAGGAGCAGCCCCCGGAAGAGGATGGGGTCTTGGTGCTGAGCCGGCAGACCCTGGGCCAGGCCTTGCAGGAGCACCCAGCCCTGCTGGTGGAATTCTGTGAGTGCCAGGCCAGCGTGGCTGGGGACCCGCAGGGGCCGCCCGGGTGCTCTGCTCTGCCTTCGCTGTGCTCCCGGGGCTCCGTCAGAGCCTGGGGCAGAGCTGGGCCTGGGGTCCAGCCTCATGGTGGGGAGGCACAGGTGCAGGGGAGAACCAGTCAGTGTCCCCCAGGCTCTTCCATGAAGGGCGAGCCAGCACTCAGGCTTACATATCCATCTGGGGTTGTACAGCCAATTTACAGGCGGGAGTCACTCCCAGCCGGCAGGCCTCCACAGGCAGATGGCGGGAGCTGGCCTCAGGGGGTGGCCATGGACGATCCGTCCTAAGCCCACTCTCGGGACAGTGCTGACCACTGCAGTCCCGCGCGGGGGCCCTCAAGGAGTCTGGCCTCTGGTGCACGGGCTCCGGGTGGCCGAGACTCAGGTGGGCCCCTGACGAGGGGTTGTGGACTGGATGTGTTGCTCCCTGCCGGATCTCAAGCGTGGAGCTGGCCCCAGGGTTGGCCGGCTCTGGCCAGGCCGGAGCAGGGGCTGCAGCAGGGTGGTGGCGGCCTGGGGCGCTCATGGGTCTGTCCTCCAGATGCCCCATGGTGTGGGCACTGCAGAGCCCTGGCCCCTGAGTACAGCAAGGCGGCCGCCCTGCTGGCTGCAGAGTCGGCCAGAGCCAGACTGGCCAAGGTGGATGGGCCCGCGGAGCCAGAGCTGGCCGAGGAGTTTGCGGTGACAGAATACCCCACGCTCAAGTTCTTCCGAGACGGGAACCGCACACACCCGGAGGAGTACACTGGTGCGGGGGCAGGCGAGGGGGCGGGCGGGCGGCAGACGCTGGGCCTCGGCTGAGGGGAGTCTCCGCAGGCCCCCGGGAGGCCGAGGGCATCGCCGAGTGGCTGCGGCGACGGGTGGGGCCCAGCGCCAGGCAGCTGGAGCACGAGGAGGACGCCCGCGCACTCATGGACGCCCGGGACGTGGTGGTCGTCGGCTTCTTCCAGGTGCGCTGGGGGCCGGGGCCGGGCCTGGGAGCAGGGGGTGGGCCCGGCGGCCTCACAGGCCCGGGCCCCTCAGGACCTGCAGGACAGGGACGTGGCTACCTTCCTGGGCCTGGCCCAGGACGCCCTGGACATGACCTTTGGCCTCACCGACCGGCCGCAGCTCTTTCAGAAGTTCGGCCTCACCAAGGACACGGTGGTCCTCTTTAAGAAGGTGGGTCAGGCGGACTCAGGGAGGAGCCAGGGTGGGGGTGCCGGCTCCCCTGACCCGCCCGGCGTCGTCCAGTTTGACGAAGGGCGGGCGGACTTCCCGGTGGACAAGGAGCTGGGCCTGGACCAGGGGGACCTGTCACGCTTCCTGCTCACGCACAGCATGCGCCTGGTCACAGAGTACAACAGTGAGGTGAGCGGGCTGCCAGGAGGGTGCAGGTGGTGGGCGGCGGCCCTGGGGGCCTCCACGAGCTCCACCTGCCCCTGCAGACATCCTCTAAGATCTTTGCGGCCAGGATCCTTAACCACCTGCTGCTGTTCATCAACCAGACGCTGGACGCCCACCGGGAGCTGCTGGCAGGCTTCCGGGAGGCAGCTCCCCCTTTCCGGGGGCAGGTACTGGTTGGGCCTAGGGGCAGGGGTGGCGGGGCTGCGGGGAGCCCACGCGAACTTCCTGCCGGCAGGTGCTGTTCGTGGTAGTGGACGTGAGTGCCGACAACGACCATGTGCTCCAGTACTTCGGCCTCGAGGCCCGGGAGGCCCCCACCCTGCGCTTCATCAACGTCGAGACCACCAAGAAGTATGCGCCAGAGCCCGGGGCGCTGGTCACCGCTGCCGCCGTCACAGACTTCTGCCGTGTGGTCCTGGGTGGAGGGGTCAAGGTCAGCAGCGGGCTGCCCAAGGGGTGGGAGCAGCAGCTGCCGGGAGAGACCCCCGGTGAAACCCCTGGCCCTGTTCCCCTAGCCCTATCGCTTGAGCCAGGAGGTCCCCCCAGACTGGGACCAACGGCCAGTCAAGACCCTCGTGGGCAAGAATTTCGAGCAGGTGGCTTTTGATGAGACTAAGAATGTGTTTATCAAGTTCTGTGAGTGTGGCTGTGGCGGGCGGTGGGTGGCGGGGGCCCTGCTGGCTGTGCTGACGTGTCCCGTCTTAGACGCCCCGTGGTGCACCCACTGCAAGGAGATGGCCCCGGCCTGGGAGGAGCTGGCCGAGAAGTACAGGGACCACGAGGACATCGTCATCGCCGAGCTGGACGCCACGGCCAATGAGCTGGAGGCCTTCCCTGTGCACGGCTTCCCCACCCTCAAGTACTTCCCAGCAGGGCCCGGGCGGAAGGTGTGGCCTGGGCTCGGTTTGCATGCTTCTGCCCTCGGCAGGAGGTGGGCCTGGCCTCGGAGGGTCAGCCTTGGGTCCAGGAGGCGGGGTCCCCAGATCACATCCCTCCTCAGGTGATTGACTACAAAGGCGCCAGGGACCTGGAGACCTTCTCCAAGTTTCTGGACAGCGGGGGCGAGCTGCCCACAGAGGAGCCTGTGGAGGTGCCTGGAGCCGCCTTCCCGGTGGGTGTCTGTCCCCAGGCGTCAGGCCTCGGGCCAGTCCTCTGGAGGGTGGCTGTGGGCGGGTACGGGTGGGGCTGGGTTGAGGGTGTGGCATCCAGCTGGGTCTCTGTGACCCCTTCCAGGAGAAGCCAGGAAACGCCACGGAGCCCAGGGACGAGCTATAGCTGCCTGCCGTCAGCACCCACCCAGGAGCTTATCCGGGGCCGTGGGAGCAGTCGTGTGAATAAAGAGCTCTGGTCTTGGACTGTGTGTGGTTCCTGAGAAGGGCAGCCCTGGTCTTGGTTTGGGCCGGATTTCAGCCCCCGGGGCCTCTACATCCTGGGTGGTGCCCAGCCCGGGTTTGCAGCCCCACCAGGGCCGGAAAGACCACAGCACTGCCGCTGTTTTGGCCCTGCCCTCGTCCCCAAGGTGCCAGCGTGGCTCCGTGTCCCCTGCCCCATGCCCCACGAGGCTGGGCCCGACCTCAAATGGTGCTTGCGAGGCAGGGCACGCATGCCGGGCGCCCGGCAGCCATGTTGGACAATGCAGTCCACAGCTAGAGAAGGTTCAAAAATGGTTTTATTTTATTATTATCCAAGTACCTTTGAAAAGATAATTGTACAAGTCAGCGCATGAAAAACGGGCTCAGGACAGCCCCCCGCTGGTGCGGGCCTGAGAAATGTACATATTTACAGGGGCCCTGGGGAGGGCGGCCCGGGACCCGCTGAGCCGGCTCGGGCCTTGGTGCTCGGCGCCGGGCCCACACAGTGGCAGGCCAGAGACAAGCTGGTTGAAGGCACTCGGTGACACGGACAATGGACAGAGGCCCCGGAGCCCCCTGCACCCTGGCTCTGGGGTGGGCCCGGCCAGGGCGGGCCACAGTAGGCACGCGCCAGGGGCGTCCGCTTAGCAGCACAGGGTCGCTGGGCAGGGTCTCCAGGCGGCCCCATGGCGGGCTCCCCGCAAGTGCGGGCTCACACGTCCCTGGGAGGAGGGGCCCCAGCGGACTCCTGCCCTCCTGGACACAGAGGGACTGGGTGGGCTGCCTGGACAAGCGCACCACCCCGCCAGCAGCTGCACCCGCTGCACTCTTGAGAGCAGGCAGCCTGGTGCGGGCCCTCATGGCACTCGGGGGTGCAGCGGCCAGGCCGCCGGTCAGTCCACCTTCTCCACCTTGCCAATGATCTTCTCCTCAAAGACGGGCAGCACAGCCGTGTCCTCACGCACTTCCTCGAACACCACGCCGCACTCGAACTCGTCGCTCACTTTCTTGAAGTAGAACCTGTGGTCGGAGGAGGCACTGAGGGTAGTGGGGCCGGGTGGCCGCCCCCCAGCACCGCCTGTAGGCCCGCGAGCTGGCCCTGGTGCCTGAGCGCCGGCGCTGGACACCATGTGCGGGTCCCTGCCCCGGCCTCTGCGGGGAGGGGTGGGTGGGCTCAGGGTCTCCATTTCCCTCCATGGGGTACCGCATGCACTCGGCCCTGCAGCCCAGGCCCCTCCGTGGGCGGGCCCGACCAGACCCCAACGGCCCCAGCGTGTTCTGCAGTGCCCCGAGGGGCCTCCAGGGTGGACCTGCGGTGGGGCCCTGGCTTCCACGGCCCCATAAAAAATGACTGGTCAGGAAGCCAAGACAAGGCTGGCTTGGGCCACACCAGCATAGGTGCCCGGGAGGACCTGGGGCCGTGCACCGAGGACACGCACACCAGCCCAGGGCCAGGCAGACGGAGCGGGACTCAGCGGGAAGGGCACACACAGCTCTGTGCTGCAAGCCCCCAGTCTCTCACCTGTAGTTGCCCTTCTTGGTCAGCAGCTCCTTGAACTGGCCCAGGGTGACTGCACGGCCCCGCACCAGGGTCCGGTAGGGGATGGGCTCTCCGCAGAAGTAGTAGGCCACGACAATGCTGTCGCACGGCTGGGCACTCCCACCGCCCGCCTTCCTCTGTGATTTCGTCCTGGGGGCCGAGAAGCACTGTGACTGCTGGGCCTGGGGCCCTACCAGGCGCCCCAGGAGATGACGGGGCAGGGCCTGCAGGGTGGGCTGCACCACGCTCGGAAACGCTGAGTCCACAGGTCCCGCTGCCCACCCCGCCCCAGCCACGCCCACCCCTGGGGGCTCGCCCTGCACGCTTCCACGCTCTGCCAGCCCAGACCATGACGTAGACACAGCCAGCTAGTTGTCCACCGCCGCCACCACCCACTTCGAGGCCCTGGTCTCACTGTGGCCTGGCCGGCCTGGAGGGCGTACCAACCACCCAGACCACATGAAACGGGCGAGCAGGCTTCTGAGGAGGACCCCATGGTGGGCGCCTCTGCCGAGCCACTCAAGACAGCCAGCCCCTGGCTCTGCGATAGCAGACTGGGTGGCTCGGCCCACGTCCCAGTAAAGCCCCCACCTTCAGAAACACCCCAAGGCCAGGGACTGGACAGCAGAACGGCTGGGCCCGGAAATGGACCCGCCTCACAGCAGAGGGCTGCTCGCGAGACCAGAGGCAGCAGCTGGCCCCTCCTCCAGAGATGACCGAGGCCTGCAGTGCCTCCTGCACGGGCAGCGAGGGGCCTCCTCGCGATGGGTGGCGCCTGTGCCGTCCCAAGTCCCATGCAGTGACTGCGCCAGACCGCCCAGTGGGCCCAGGCATGGCCCTTGGCCCTGGCCAGACGGGCGGCCAGTGTTGCATCAGGAAGGCCCTGAGGTCACAGAGGGCTCTCCTCTCCCCGGGGATCCCCCCCACTGGTGCTCCTGGGCACAGACCAGGCAGTCACCTCAGCTGAGAGGCCGCCCCCACCTTGAGCCAGGCTCCTGTCACCTGATTCCCTTCCTTCGGTCCTGTGACCTCAGGCCTGGCCCGCCCCAGGAGCCACCTGGGGTCCCCAGGGGGTCCATTCTCTACACAAGAGCACCCCCCACAAAGAGTATCAAGGGGGAGGCTCAGAGCAGGGCCCTCGGCCACACACGACGAAGGACCGGGGGTCGGCCGGGAAGGGCTCAGTGGGCGCCCCTCTCTGCTCGGGGACAGGGTGGCCTGCGCTGGCCACACAGGGCCCTCAGGCCCTGGACGCCCAGCCCGGCCCACGTGCACGGGCGTGGCCCCCACGCCCCCACACCGCGCGTAAGAGCAGAGCCAGCTCCTGTGCACACGGCGCCCGGGACCTGTGCTCTGGTCAGCAGCGCCCCAGGGAGTCAGGGCCGCAGCCCCGAGCTCGTGACACCAGGCGGCCCCGGCAGCGAGGGCTGAGGCCTCGTGTGGGACACGCAGACCCTTCCCGGGCCCGCCGCTCGCTGTCCCCACGTGGACGGCCAGGGCTCCTCTCACAGGCACACGAGCAGCCCCAGCTCTTCAGGCACAGCGCCCGAGCTCACGTCGGGGGGCCGGCCGGCACTGGGAGGACCCAGGGGGGCGCACGTACTCTGTCTCGGAGAGCTCCAGGTCGGACACCGCCGGCACGGCGCTCAGCACGGGCGTGCACGCTGGCCTGACGCAGCAGCGCCCCCGCTGGATGACCTCCTGCACATACCTAGGGAACAACGCGCAGTGAGCCGCCGCCCGGGCCGGGCCTCCAGCAGCGCTCAACTCAGCCACGCTCTGCAGCAAAAGGAGGCGCCCGCTGCACGGGCCGGCAGGATGGCAGACCTTCGTGGTTGTGGAGCTGGAGGTCAGGGCTTCGTCAGAGCAGGCAGGACACCGGCGCTTCCACCCACCAGGTCTTCACCAAGCAGACCTCGGGCTCCTGAAACCCGCGGGCGCCTGCCACTCCGTGCACTCAGAGGAGCCTTCGCCTCCAGAGGGGAGCAGCCCCGACCTGGGCCCTGCAGCTCAGTCACTGCCAGCTGAAGGAGGCTCACCGCCCACCGTTCCCATCCCAGGGCCATCAACCTCAGTGCGACGCTCCACGGCCCTGATGTGACTTCTATTTTGACCGCCCTGGGTGGAGTCAGCCCAAGAGGAGGGCCCAGCAGACCTCTGCTCTGGGGTCTCTGCTGTCTGCAAAAGGCGCACGTGTCCTGGACTGACCAGTGTGGAACGCCCGAGCCGCCCCCGTGGCTCAGCTGTGTCACAGCCAGACAGAACCCGCCACCGGGCAGGGCCTGTGGGTGCTGGCGCGAAGAGCAGACCAAGCACACAAGACCACAGACAGGCAGCCCTGCAGGGGCAGGCGTGGCAGGACGGGCCGGCTCGCCCCGCGCCCTCCGCTGCTGCCCTCCACCCTCCAGCTCACAGGCCGGCCTACCGGGCCTCAGGCACCGCCCGCTCCCCAGTCCACACGGACCAGCAAGACCTCAGCATGTGACACGGCCGCCGTAAACAGGGTCACCTTCACTGAACAGGGACACGCGCAGGCCTCCCGCGGTGCAGCGGGCTGGGGCGGGTCTGCACCCGGGCGCCGGCTTCCCCAGAGCAGCACAGACCATGCGGCGAGGGCCGGCCCCAGGAGCCCCGCTGACTGAAGATTGGACGCGGGGACCAGAAACACCCGGGACGGGGCCGCCATCCACTGACCACACTCCTGTCTCCAGGCCCTCAGAGCCCGGACCACCCTGAAGTCCCAAGCAGCTGGCACACCCGAGAAAGTGACCGCAAAGGCCCCACTGCGAGGGTCCAGCGTGGAGGGGTGACCTGCCCCATGAAGGGCCGCCCTGGCCCTGACAGCCACGCAGGGCGCCGTGAGGAGGGAGGGCCATGGGGCTGGGCTCTCAGCACCAAGAGAGAGACACCAGGGCTCCCCCGCGTGCTGGGAACAATCAGGCCCCTTCACGGACACAGTGGGCCTCAGCTGGCACCCCGAGCACAGCCGCAGCCCAGCCGAGGCGCAGAAGGGCTCCCGCCCCAGACGGACGCTGTGAGGACCACGCACCTCTGCTTCGAGGGCGCCTTGCTGGCCCTCTTCTCCTCCTCCTCCAGGCGCCGGCGAGCCTCCTCCAGCTGCGTCAGGGGGTTGGGGGCGGGGTTGGGTGGCATCGTGGGGTCTTGAATGAAGAGATGCGAAGGCTGCACCGAGCTCCGGAGCTGGGCACTGACCCAGGGGTGCACGGCCCCAGGGCGCTCAATGGACAGGGGCCTGGAGCTCTCGTGAGCCTGCTGCTTCTTAGCCCCGGACGACCTTCAGGGGCGACAGAAGCAGGTGAGCTGTGCCCAGGCCCCGGGTGTCCCCCACTCCCAACACACGGCCTCTCTGGGGACCTGCTCTGCACCGTGCTCACCGCTTTCTGAAATACAGAGCAGACCCTGTGTGGGCATCTTCTTAACGTTCCCCCACGAAGACTTCTTTTACATAAAAGTTTTTTGTTTTTGAAAAGTATTTTGATATTAGAGTAAGTGTTCTTGGGACTTCCCTGGAGGTCAGATGAGACTGCCAGCCCGCAATGCAGGGGGTCTGGGTCTGATCCCTAGTCAGAGAACTTGCTCTCACATGCCCCAACCAAGACCCAGGGCAGCCAAACAGAAAAACAAAAGCTTAACCTTTATCACTGCTTTAAAAATATAAAGATAAATAAGTGCTCTTTGTGAAAAACTTGAAATGTTCAGGAAATTCTAAGAAAAAAATGAGTATGATTTAGCAATAGCCACTCAGTACATTCAGTGTATTTCCTGCCCCACTAAGGACACCTGACGCGGCTGGCTTAACTTTCATCACGTGCTTCCTCCTAACTTTCCTCCACGTGACGCCACATTCCCTGCTATCAGTCACCGAGAACCTTCTACATCTGTGTGACCTGCTGTCACTCAATACTGCCTCTCTCAGCTGGACAGGAGGCCTCAGAAGGGGGGCGTGTCCCCAGGAGCAAAATGAGGGGACCCCAGGAAGGGTGCCCTGGGGGAGAGGGCTGCCTCAGTGCCCGTGTGATGTGACCTGCCCCACGGGGAGCTGGAGTCCTAGAAGGACCCACAAGGCCCCCGACTCCTCACTCCCTGCCCCCCTCCCCCTCCCTGCTCTGTGCCTGCCCCCAGGTCCACAGACCCCAGGAAGGCCTGTACAATGCAGCCCACAGCGCAGCCAGGACACTGCTTCTGGACCCATCTTCCCACAGAAAGATGCGCTGGGGTGGGGGAATGGCCAAGAAGAGCGCTGCCGGGTCAGGTTTCGTGAGTGCAAACCCAACAACTCAGGACCAGGGAAGTCCACAGCTGGCCAGTCCCAAACCCCAGGCCCCTGCCCACCCCGCCCCCACCACGAGCGGGACAGGTGACCCTGAAATCGACATGGAGCACAGAGAGACCCAGAGCAGAGACGTGTCCTCTGGCAGTTGGGGTCAAGAAGGCTGGACCCAGAGGCTCCTCCTGGAGGACCTGCCTCAGCTCCTGGTGGAGGGGCGGCCACAGGGCTGTAGGATCCTGCCCAGCAGGGCTGCAGCAGCTGACCGCAGCAGTGGGCACTCCTGCCCGAGACACTGAAGTTGTCACCGATTCCCACCCCATCACAGTGCCCACACAGGGAAGGGTTGGCCTCACACCGCCATGGGCTAGAGCTGGTCCCACGGGCCCCACGGCCTGCAGACTGCCACCTGGCGCTGACAGCATGCTCTAGAGCTGGGAGGGACTCAGAGCCAGGGGTGGGAGGACGCAGAGCCAGGGGTGGGAACAGAGCTGGGGGGATGGGGACTCAAGAGCCGGGGGGAAGGGGACTCGGGGGTGGGGGGACTCAGAGCCAGGGGTGGGAGAACTCAGAGCCGGGGGGGGAGGACTCAGAGCCAGGGGGAGGGAGGACTCAGAACTGGGGTGGGGGGGACTCAGAGCCAGGGGTGGGAGAACTCAGAGCCGGGGGGGAGGACTCAGAGCAGGGGGGAGGGAGACTCAGAGCCAGGGGGAGGGGGACTCAGCTGAGGGAAGACTCATAGCCAGGGGGAGGACTCAGAGCCGGGGTGGGAGGACTCAGAGCCAGGGGGAAAGGGACTCAGAGCTGGGGGTGGGAGGACTCAAGAGCTGGGGGTGGGAGGACTCAGAGCCAGAGGGAGGAGGACTCAGAGCTGGTGTGGGGGCTCAGAGCCGGGGCAGAGGGGGACTCAGCTGGGGGAGGACTCAGCCGGGGCCCCTCACCCGTGGCCCGCCTTCCGGTGTCGGCTGATCTCCTTCTCGCCCTCAATGATCCACTGCATGATCTTCTGGTTCTTCTCTGCGTCCTCAGACGGGCCTGGCGCCTCTGTACTGCTGCTCTTCCCCAACTCTGCCTTCTTGGAGTTCCTCTTGGAGGTTGTGCCCACCTTCCCGCTGCAAGAGCAAGACCTGGTCACTTGCTACTTCAGCCGGCCCAGGCTAGACGGCTGGCCGGGACCCGCAGGGCTGGGGAGGACAGCCCGCAAGGGCCCTGCCAGCATGCAAGGCCTCAGTTGCACTCCTGCGGGCGCGGCCAGGCTGTTTTGGGCTGACTCTGTGGACAGAAGGCATCTGGGCAGCTCAGGCCCAGCCACCCGTCCTCACCCAGACACCCCCCTCCAAAACGGGCCCGTCTGACCCAACAGCGCTTCAGGGCTGGAGCCCTGCAGCCGTGCACCCAGGCATGCACGCCTGCCAAACTGCGCTGGCCCTGGCTTAGGGACTCCTCAGGGAAACTCTGGCCCGAGAGCGGCATGGAGGACCCTTTTCCAGGGGATACCACCTGCACTGACGTGGGCTGGGGCGGGGGCCGCCGCCGCCACTCACCCGTAGGCCAGGCTGTCACTGGCAGTGGGGGCGGCGCCCGTGCTCTCCACGTGGCTGCGGGGCTTGGCTGTGTGGCCGTGCAGCTCTGGGCCCCAGGTGAAGCTGCTTGGGACCCGGCGGGTGGCCTCGGCCTCAGCTGGCTCCTTGGGCCGGGCCACACCGTGGTGGCCGTGGTGGTGGCCGTGTCTGTGGAGGTGCACGCCAGCCGGGTCCAGCTTCGCCCCCAACTTGGGCGCATGCTTTCCGTGCCCAGGCATGGCACCCCCCAGCACCCCGATTTTGGGCACGTGCGTGCTATCCGGGGAGCGGTGACCAGGCCCCGGCGACTGGCAGCCGGGCGTCCTCATGACTCGCTGCACGTGCTCGTCCAGGATGCTCTCGGGGTTCTCCTCATGTGCGTCCCGCAGCCCCGCGCAGCCCACGTCCGCGTAGCGGGAGGGGAAGTGGTGCCAGGCCGGGGCCGAGGGCAGTTTATGGCTGGCGCCCTGGGGGCCAGAGGGCATGTCGCCGTCCTCGCCTTCCTCCTCCTGCTGAGATGAGAAAGCATGTCACCTCTCGGCACTGGCTGCATCGGGGAGACCCCATGCTTGGGGACACAGAGCACAAACAAAGGCCCGAGCCCCGAGCTAGGACGAGGCCGGGCCAGCGAAGTGCAGGAGGGGTTGCCCGATCCAGAGTAGGCCCAAGTCCCGCATGCCCGCCCAGTCCCGAGTCAGTATGGCTGGGCTCTAGGAGGACGAAGCGGATGGGGGCTGGCCTGCGCTCCCCTCCCGAGTGCGGGGACAGGGCCACATGCCACGCGGAGGAGGGCACAGCACCAGGGCTGCACAGACCACAAGGATGCCTGGCACCACTTCCACGTTAAGCTTCTCAATAAAAATTTTTCTTTTTTTCAATTGTTTTCCTATTCCTAAATTTTACTACTGTATTTTCCATCATATTTTCCCAGGGAACACTGCCCTTATACCGAAGAGCTCCGGGTTTTTCCTTGTTTTGCTACAGGTGTTAATAAATTGTCACATCAAACTAGCAGAATTTCCTTAGACTCTGAGAGTTACTATAAACAGACCTGTAAACATACATATTCAGTCACTTCGATCCTGAAACACACAACTCACATTCACTGTCTCGTCTTATTGAGTTGCCCTGAGCAGACACTAAGAGACCGGATGACTGAGCCACCTTGCATTTCGACGTGAACAAGCCCCCAGGAGTCCCCACAGGACCCCACACCACTATGGAAGTGCCTGCGGTCATCCAGACACGCCACCAGCTGTGGGCACCACGACTCAGGAAATGGCACCCAAGAGGACAGGCAGGGTGAGGGGGCGGATGGGGGGACACGCAGCCCTGTGGGTGAGCGGTGAGCCACCCTAGAGTGCCCTGGACTCTGGGCTCTGCACCCCCTATCGCTACCCAGACCCTTGGTTCCTGCACTCACCCTGTCCCCACCCCAACCCTGGTGCTTTGTGGTTATCAGGGGTTTGGGACTCGGGAGACCCACACCCAGGGGCACCCAGTATTGATGCCATTCACTCCCTCCCAGGGCAGCATGCTGCAAAAAGAAACCTCCAAACACCCAGGGATCTGAGACCATCTATCCCTAATAGCTCTGCATGCACAGAAATTCAATTTTAGGATTTTAAAAATTACAGATTTACATAACCCTTCAGCGCTAGTTTTCATTTTCTTCTGTTCTGATTTTCCAAGCTTTACAGTAAAATTAAGTTATTAACAAATTTGTAAGACTCCCTAGGTGTTCCAGTAATTAAGAATTCACCTACCAATGTGGGGCACACGGGTTCGATCCCTGGTCCAGGAAGATCCCATATGCCGTGGAGCAACTAAGCCTGTGTGCTCCAAGTACTGACTCCATAAGCCACAATTAGTAAAGTCCATGTGCCCTAGGACAGGTGCTCCCCAACAAGAGAAACTGCTGCAATGGGAAGCCCATGCACTTCAACAAAGAGCAGCTCCTGCTTACCACAACTAGAGAAAGCCTGCACACTGCCAGTAACATCCCGCTTACCCGAAAATAATTAATTAAAAATCTGCAGTGGGAATTCCCCGCAGTCCAGTGGTTAGGACTCAGTGCATTCACTGCAGGATTCCAGGTTAGATTCTTGGTCAGGAACTAAGATCTCACAAGCCGTAAGGCAGGCCCCAAAAATGTCTGAGCTATTACTCTTAAAAAAGAATTCTTATTTATACCATGGTTCACATAGCTTACAAAATCACACCCGGTAACAGACTCGAGACCACATGGCCAGCTGCTGGGCAGTGAGCCACCCCCTGGGGCAGAGGGACGCCCATGGGAGCCGACCGGTTGCACCCCCGAGGCCAGGAGCTGGGACCCAAGGCCTATGCGTGACAGCCCTCCTGAGCTTGAGGCTCTGAGCAGCCGACACCGGACGTTGGCTAAGACACGTTCTGTCATGTCAGAGAACACTGCTGGGTCCAGCCCCCAGAGAGCTTGGGGGCTGCAGGCACAGCCATCCAGTGCCTGCCAGGGATGCCATGGGAGAGCCTCAGACGGCTGGGCTGCCTGAGCACGCCCCTCCCGCCCGACACCACCAGCCAGGACCGCAAGCACACAGCCCCAGTCTAGGCCGGAAGCACAGCAGCGCATTGTGAAAGCCCAGGTCTGCAGTGAAACCGGCAAGTCTGCAGTGGTGAGTCGCGATCTCTGAAATTTCTTTCACGAAACGTTACACCTTGCTTCCTGAGCCTGTTTTAAGAGCTGTTGATGGCAATGCACTCAGGACAGCCTCACAGAGAGGCGGTGCGTGGAGATGCTGTCAGGGCACACAGCCTCCTCACACACGCGACCCAAGCTGAGCTCCGCCAAGGCACTGGCACAGGCATGACTCTGGTCTGCATTCGCTCCCTCTAGGCAGCTCCCAGGAGGCGGAAACCCTCAGCTCTGATGACCAGCGCACCCCAAACACGCCCTGCTGGCCATGCCCTCCTGAGCAGTGATGGGGCAGGGGCCTCGGACAGGTCGCTGAGCCACGGGCCGTGGGAGGACAGCCAGAGGGCTCCAGGCAGGCTTCGGGCTGCACCTGCCCTACCAGGAGGCCGTGCCATCACCACGTGAGCGGGAGGGGGGGCAGAGCACGGTCCCGCGGGGCTCCTCGTGGCACTGCATGGCCTGCGACCACCTTATGCTCGGGGCTGTCTCCATACTGCCAGGGGTCCGCGGCCCGCCCCACGATGAGATCTGCCTGCCAACTCTGTGCAGGGAAGGCGGGGGAGCCTGGCCTGTGTCGGGGCAGGCGTCACACGGAGCTCTGCATCTAAGTGCGGGGGCAGGAGCAGGGGCTGCAGGGCTGCCCGCCGGCCAGGCCCCTCACCCACCCTGACGGCACTGCCCCCCATGGCGCAGCAGGTGGCACCCCTGGGGAACATGGAGGCCAAAACAGCAGGATCCCCCTCGGGTTCTGAAGGGTCCAGGGAGGGCTCAGCTTCTGTAATTTAAACAGGAAGATCAGGTGATAGGTAGAGAAATAATTCCTACAAGAAAGTCACATTTTGAGTTTCAGATATTGAACAAAATACTGAGAAGAGAATGAACTCCCGCCCTGAGAAAAGGCCTGTGTGCCAGAAGCCTCGAGGCCCACAGGCCCGGAGGGCGGGGCACACGAGGGCGAGGGGGGCATGCCTGTCACGGCACCCCTGCCCTCTCGTGTGCAGAACGACATGCGTGTGCAATGGCCAGGATGGGAGCGCGCCACCCCAGGCAAAAAAAAGACAGGCATGCAGGCACCTAGAGGCAGAGTTACAGCAAACAGATCGGGTTGCTGAACTCTCAGCTCCCGGAGCTCTATCAGAAAGGCTACCGGCCAGGAAACGAGACAGGCAGAGCCGTGTCCCAGCCGAAAGCCACTCCGCACGCGGAGGTGGCGGGTCGGAGCCTCGGGCCACGCTGCCCGAGGAGGCCATCCGGGCTCCACGCGACATGAAGGGCGCCTAGCAGGGTGCAGGCCTCCAGCCCTGGCTCGGGCAGAGCCGCCGGCCGGCGGGGAGACGCCCTCCAGCCCCACGGAGGCCCGTGCCTCGGGGGCCTGCTGCAGCCCGCGCCACGGCAGCCACTCACCATGCGCACGCGCTTCAGCCGCTCCTCCAGCTCCTCCTCAGCCTCCCGCGTCCGCTGCACGGCCTCCAGGCGGTGGATGAGCTCCGCCGCGAACTTCTGGGGCTCCACGCGGACTTCCTTTGGCATTCGGTACGTGCGCTGTGAGGAGACGCCGCTGTGAGCCCTGCCGCGCCGCGTGAGCAGGGCACGGCCTGCACTCTCCTCCCCACCCTGGGCTGACCAGCAGGGGACAAGCAGACATGGCTGCCTCCTGCCTCCCACGACCACGGGTGAAGGCCCTGAGGAGGCCGGGGGCTACGCCTCCTCGGGGATGGCCACCCTGGCGCCCGCAGCCCAAGGCCGCCGGCCTGCCCTGGAGAAGGGTTTCTTGTGACTGACCAGCCCAGAACTCGGGCAGCCGGAGCAAAGGCGTCCGGCTGTGCAGACCCGTGAGGTCAGGGCTCAGTCCAGGGCCAGGAGGGCCGGGCATGCTCTGCAGCGCCCACCTTGCACCCAAGGGGCAACAGCGCCTGACACAGCAGGGGGTCACTGCCCTGCACCCGGGATGAGCGACACAGAACCCTGGCGCAGGCAGGAGCCGGGGAGGGACGGGGAGCCATGCTCAGAGAATGCAATTCCACGCACGCCTCACAGCAGCATGCCGCGCAGCTCTGGGGGCGGGCACGAGCTATAAAGTGAAATCGCTTCAAATCCAAAACACTTGCAAGCACAGCGAGAAACCCTGCGCGCGGTTACCCAGACCCTCCAAGGGACCGCAGGCCGCCGCCCCTCAGGTGGGAGCAGGGCGCATGCGGGCAGACACTTACGGGAATGTGAGGTAGAGGCACCCGCCCGTTGGCCTGGACACTCTCCTGCATCTCCCGGCGGTGCTGCCTGCGGCTCCTGTAGGGCGGGACTCCATCCCTGTCAGACAGACACTCGCATGAACACACGCAGGGCTTGGCCACAGTCGCTGGGAGCAGGCCCGTGCAGCCTGTCTCCTGAGCTGCGCTGGCTGAAGACGACTTTGTGTTCTTAGAAAGAACGGGACAGGTTCCTGAATCCTGCTTTCTTCCAGGATAAGACGGTAAAGCAGCATAATCTGTCAGATACTCAAATTTGTTCTCTTGACGTGAATTTTAGTCACAACCCTTCTGAAGACTGATAAAACCACAAGTCAAAGCACATACCGCCTTTAAAATGACTAAGCACTTATCTGAGAAGCATCTGACTTGCTCGCCTCCTGCTCTCCAGCCACTTGAACGCTGCTCCAGGAAAGCGGGGGCAGGAAAATGCCTCTCTGGTCCCCATCTCCCAAGGACCTGAGGGGGTGTCCCCCCGACAGCTCCCAGCCTCCCGGGTCTCCAGCAGTGGGGGACCCACGACACCAGCACTCCCAGCCCCCCACTTGCTTCCCACGCAGGACCAGCGCTGGCCGCCACTCGGCCAGCAGAGGCGCCCCAGGCACATGGTTCTCAGCGTGCCCCAGCCCGGCCCAGGCACTCACCCCAGCGCAGGGGAAGGGTGGCCCTGATTGGAGCAGGGCACAGAGGCGGGGGTGCTGGGTGCCTCGGGCCTTCAGGACCCCAGGTGGGGCCACAGTGCAGCGGGCGCAGCAGTCCAGGGGCCAGGCCTCAGGGAACAAGAGCCGCAGTGCGTCTGGACGCCCTCACACGGCTCAGGCGTCCCGAGCCCCGTGGGTGAGGCTCACATGCTCTGGCCGCACACCTGAAGTCCACGCCTGAGAGACCAGGCGCTGTCCACAGAGTCTGCACCCAACGGCAGTGGACTGCAAAGCCCTTCGCCAGTGGAGGCCATGCTGAGTTGCCAACAGAAATAATTTAGATGAAACACACGATCCTATTTTTTGCCTCATATATTCAGTATATTCAAATATCTGCCACAATTTTACATTCCAAGTTCTTAACTATTCCTGTATTTCTGAGTCTCAGTGTAAACCAAGATGAACACAGTATCAGGGAAATTCTTTTTGTTGTTTTAGATCTTTCCTTTAGCAAACATATGTCCTTCCCTTGGAAAGAATTAAGAGATTAATTGACATTGTAGTAACTGAGTTTTGGGGAAGAGGAGAACAGAACGCGTGCTATCAGCCGCTCCCGGGGGCTCTGAGGGGCACAGCTCATTGGAACCCTTTAACGCAACACTTTATATTCATGGCAGGTACTGCTGAAACCCCAGTAGTATCAAGTAAGTTGTTGGAAACATTGACAGTTTCTGTGAAAGAGTCAAAACAAAGGAGAACGTAATGATGAATGTGGACTGCCCCACAGCGGCTCAACCTGGCGGAATGATGCCCCCATCTCGTGGCCCCCAACAGGAGGAGAAAGGACTGCTGACTCACTAGACACGGGCTGTCAGACCAGAGCCAGACCCGGGCGGGTGGCACGAGGAGCCAGCAGCCCACAAGGCAGGCCACAGCACGGAGGACCCGGCCACCCACAAGGACGGGCGAGCCGGCCTTTCCCTCCTCACTGAAGCCTGTCCGCCCTGCAGACACCAAGCAGGGCCGAGACGCAGTCCCCATGACCCGCTGACAGTGATCAAGGCCGCAGCCCACGCGCCATCACGGGGGTAGACATGCCCACACGCCTGCCAGCTCCAAAGCCAAAACCTCCCTATTGGGGCAGAGAGACAGCGAACGGCGCACAACTGAAGGCAGGCAAGCCCGACGCACGTGGGTGGTGGACCCCAGCAGGCAGACAGGCAATGCCCTGGCGTGACATGGGCAAGTGTGACACCATCACATCCTGACTTGCGCCAAGGTCCCCGAAGTCATCGGCGAACCAGAGAGAAAGGTGTCAGAAGCCAGCACTTCCCCCAGGGGAGCCATCCCTGGACAGGGGTTCACGCCACCCTCGAGGGTGCAGAGGCTCCTGTGGGTCTGGCCGGCCAGCACAGAGCCACGCCAAGGGGACAGCAGGCCCTGATCAGGTGAGACGGCTCCCAGATCACAGGGGGCGAGCACAGAGCAGACACCTTGGGGTGGCCCGCCCTGGACGCACCGCACATCCAGCGAGCGCCACTGAGACCAGGTCTGGGCGCCGCCAGGCAGCTCCGGCAGCCTCGCCTGGAGGGAAGCCACCAAGGCTCTGGGCTGCAGGAGGGTCCCCAGGAACAGCCCCCGCAGAGTGGGGGAGGGGTGGCGGGCACTTACACGCTGCTGTCAGTGAGGGACAGGCTGTCGGCATCGCTGGACAGGCTCTGCTGCTCGCTGTCATTGGCGCTGGTGGCAGGGGCGAGGGCATAGCCGGAGTTGACGTAGTAGGGGTTGACGGGCTCCCGCCACGATCCACACCTGCTAATAAGAAGGTATGTTAGCAGCCGCCAGGCCACGTCCCCACGCACTGATCCTCATCTTCAGAATCACCTGTGACCCCAGCACGCGGACTGCAGACCCGAAGCATTGAGAAGAGACAGTGCAGAAAAGGCCGCGGGTCCGCCCTGCCCTCATCCCCGCGCTCCTGGGAGACAGGCACCCCACGCCTTCCCTGTGCAGTTGGGCAGCCGTGCCTGTGAACACATGCATGCGCCATGCCAGTAACTAGAGACAGGGCGACGACTCCATGCCCCCGCTCCTGCAGCACACCGCCGCAGATTCACTGACCGGCTGCGAAGCCACCCGGCCTCGCGGGCCAGCAGGACCCTGTGCCACAGCCACCCATGCAGGCCCCAGCCAGGCCTCGGGAGCACAAGCCTGAGCACGGGCATGGGGTGGATGAGCGGGTGGCGGGCACACAGGCCGTGGGTGTAAGAGTAGCTGTCACACTGCCCTCCGGGACAGCAGTGACCATCCCGCACGCCCTGGGTGGGACCCACCACCATGGGTCACCAAACTAGCCAGAAATTGACACTAACGGTTTGCATTTCCCTGGTAGATGGTCAGGAGGGGGAGCATTGAGATGTCACTTAAATTAATTCTTTCCTCTTTAAATGACCTGTTCATACCTTCTGTCTATTTTCTGTTGGGCGGTTTATGAGTTTCTTAGTGATTTACAGATGTCTTTAAATATTCTCGAACTTCCCTTGTGGCTCAGCTGGTAAAACATCTGCCTGCAATGCGGGAGACCTGCGTTCAATCCCTGTGTTGGGAAGATCCCCTAGAGAAGAGAAAGGCTACCCACTCCAGTATTCTGGCCTGGAGAATTCCATGGACAGTCCATGGGGTCGCAAAGAGTTAGACAACTGAGTGACTTTCACTGAAACATTCTTACTATTAACCTCTGGTTACATACGTGAAAATACTTCCTCCCTAAATGTCACTTCTTAACTTTGTTTATGTCGATTTTGGTATTAGAAAAGTTTACTTCTGTGAAGTCAGACTTACAAATCTTTCTCCTTACAGATTTTTTTTTCTACCTTACGTAGGCCAACTTTCCTCATTTGACAATCATAAATATATCCCTCAGTTTTTCTCCAAATGCTTCAATATTTTTTAAGATCTCTACCTGAAACATGTGCATGTAAAATCCACCTACTCCTCTGCATCACAGTGGACAGCCAGCCGTGAGCACTGAGTGCCACACCACCACCGGCCCTGAATTCCTGCACGCCTGATCCCCACACACACAGCCCCCCCTTTCTGGAGTCTCCACTCTGCTCATCCCGCGAAGGCCCCGCCAGCCCCTCGCAGCTGAGGCTCCCCGAGCCCCCTGGAAGGTGGTGTGAAGGGGGGACAGGACGAGGTGCCTCTGAGGGCTCTGACTGCAGCCTCATCCTGGCCAGGGTGCTCGTGAACGGCAGCCGCACTGGCTCCGGGGACCCGTGTGCTCTGTGCAGGGAAGGGAGCAGACTGCTTCTGCCTCCACGGGGCCCAGGGGGACGCCCCGGTGTGAGCTGAGCATGCTCGGGGAGAGGCGGTCCACACCTGCCACGTCAGAATGCCGGTCACGCAGGACACGTGAGCTGGGCCGGGCCAGGCAGTGTTGCTGGAGAGAACCCAGCAAGCAGCCCACCTCCCCGGGGCCACGCACACAAGCAGAGCGGCCACGGCACCGCCAGGACACTGACAGTGCACACGACTCGCCCTCCAGCTCAGGACCCGGGCTTGTCACCCCACACCACGGTCCCCCTGAGCCCTCACGGCAGCCAGGTTCCCGCCAAATGAGGGCGGGCGCAGGGCCTAGAGGCTCCGGGGAAGGGACAGGGGCCGCCCCGGGCCCATGTCTGCAGCACCACGCTCTCCCTAAACGACACTGCTATCCCCCTGGCTGTTTAAACACAAACCATCAACACAATCACCAACACAGCCACTGAGCTGGAATTCAGACCACAGACAGCTGAGTCGCCCCTCCGTGTTCCGCTACCTCAGGGAGAGCACCCGCACGCCCCGGGCCCTCACCTTCCCCGAGAGGGCAGGACTGAGCCTGCGACCCTGATGCCTGCACAGGCCACCTGCGCCCTCCCCCGACGGGGCCCAGGAAATCCAGCTTTGAGGTGACAAGCAAGGAAAACGTGGGTCCTTTCCACAGCCTCCGGTGCTGAGCAAACCCCAGCACGGACACAGCTCCACGACCAGACACACGGGGAGGAAAGTGCATGGGGAGAAAGAGGAGGAGGGGCCGGCAGCGAGGCCAGCCCTCAGGACAGGCGCTGCAGGCTGCCACGCCACAGGAAGCTCGGCAAAATGTCACCTGGGGGCCGCCGGCTGCTCCCCACAGGACGGCTGGAACCAGAACTCAGACACGGGATCTACGGAGACCTCCAGCCTCTCTGCGGCTTCCAGACCTCACGACAGAGCCCTCAGGACTGCCCGGCCTCTGGGGCTGCTGAGTGCAGGACTCTGCCCTCCACGCTTTCACTCGAAAACTTCCAGCGTCCTTTCGCTTCTATGTCTCCTTCCTGAGCAGCTGCCTTCCCACGACCTGGTCTGATCACTCTTCCTTTTAATCGCTTCTCTGGTCCTGCTGCGTTCAGTGTGGCTACAGAGTGGATCCACCGGCTCAATGCTGTTGGTCATGGCTGTTCTATTTTCCTTTGTTCCTCCTTGCCTTCTTTTGGAATACTTTCTATTTTCTGTCTCCTCCCTCTAATAAAGTAGCTCTTTCACTGTTCTTTCAATGGTTCCTTCAGGGATTACAACAGGTACCCTTGATGCATCAAGGTCCAATTAACTGCATTCTACCTGTTCCCAGGCAACACGTGGTCCGAGTTAATGCGGGAGTTCCCTGGCAGTCCACCAGGTAAGACTGTGCACTTCCACTACAGGGGTGCACATCTGACCCCAGGCTGAGGAACTAAGAGCCCATGTGCCACACGGAACAGCAAAAAAGAAAAAAAACAAAACAGAATTAACTCCACCCGCCTCCCACACACTCATGTGCTGTTGGCGTCCTGGGTTTTGGGTCCATGTGGTGTCTTAACCCCAGGAGACATCATCAGTCTTGCTTTATCCTCCAACAGCCCGCCTGGAGTCACCACGCCCTCCCCTGTCCCTCCTACCCTGAGAGCATTTTCTCTGCCTGAAGAACACCCTTCAGTACGTCCATGAGTACAAGGGCTGCAGCTGACACTTCCTCAGTGTTCGCTGGTCTGAAACTGTCTTGATTTCCCCTTTATTCCTGAAGGGTAATTTCACTGGGCTGAAATTCATTTTCACTGCTTGGTAATCATTTTTGGTTTCTGCGGAACTTTGTAAGCTTTCGATGGGAGTGTACATGGTGCAGACTCGGTGGGATACAGTCCGGTAGCTTCTAAAAATTAAAACAGAATTACCACAGGACCCAGCAATTTCCCTCCTTGGTAAAAGCCAAAGGACTCATGAGCAGGGTCTCAGGAGAGTTCTGTGCCCCCAGGCCCTGTGCAGTGACCTTCCTGGTCATCATCTCTGCAAGCCCCTCCTGGGAAGGTGAGGCCAGCCCAGCCCACACTTTCCCCACCCCGCCTCTAGACCCGGTGCCCCAGGCCAGAGCCCAGTGACCTGGGACACAGGGGCAACAGATAGACCGAGAGCGGCAGGAGGCAGAGCTCGGACCCCTCCCCTGGGCAGGAGTGGCCTTGAGAACCATTCTGATGTCCTGAGACCCAGGCTACAGCCGAATAATGACTGTTCTGTCTTCAGACGCCCACAACCTGTCCCGCTGGGACACTCTCAAGGGCCCAGACAGCCTCCTGTGAGATCCCGGCAGGCGCTTCCAGGAGTGGCACAGAGGCAATGCCGCCACGCTTCCAAGAACGTCCTGCAGGCTGGGCCCAGGGCCTGCCAAGTTTCTACTCTAACTTCACTGTCTTCCTTTGTAATTAAGAGGCAATCTTGTGGGACTCCCCTGGTGGTCCACTGATAAAGAATCTGCCTGCCAATGCAAGGCACACAGGTTCAATCCCTGGTCTGGGATTGAACATGGCGCAAGGCAACTAAGACTATGCACCGCAACTACTGAAGCCCTCACGTCCTGCAGCCCGCACTCTGCAACGAGACGCCACCGCGATGAGGCTAAGTTCAACAACTAGAGTAGCCGCCACTCGCTGCAACTAGAAAAAGCCTGTGTGCAACAACCAAGACCCAGTTCAGCCAAAAGTAAAAAATTATTTTTCAAAAAAGAGGTGATGTGTGGCAGAGATACTTTAGGATGATACATACATTCTATTCACGCCCATCGTTTGATCTGCGTGTACTGGAAGGACGCTCCCTTGTAGCAGGACATCTGTCTGCTGCAAGCCATCCTCTTATCCCTGCCCTTCCAGAGCCCAGCCCCGCCCCCGCTCGGACAGGTCTTCACCAGGGAGGCATCCGCAACCTGTGATCTGTGCTGTGAGGCGGCCTCCCAGTCCCACATGCCTTTTATTTACTTTATGACCCTTTATTTATTTTTATTACCCAACTGGCACACCCTACCCACCACCATGAATGAACACTGAATTGCACAACACACCAAAGGGCATCAGAGTCAAAACCAAACAGTAACGACAGAAGGATCCACGTTCTGTGGAAAAGGCACGCACGGACGGGGCATGGTGGCCACGGGGGCCACACACCGGTCCCCCACAAGGGAGGCAGTGGAGAACCCTGGCCCTAGAGTGGCCCCAGGGCCCATCCGCCCTCACCATTACTTACCAGCACTAGACTGTGGGCGGGTTACCCCTGCAAAGTGGACCGACAACGGCCACGTCTTTGAAAGGGGCCCGAGTACCCTACACGAGCACACAGGGGATGCTGAGCGCCAGACGATGCAGAAACCACTCGACTTAAGACGGGCCAGCACGTCCGGCTCGGCGTCCCGCACATGGAGCAGGATGAGGCTGGGAGCTATGGGCTGCAGGACGTAGATCCCCTTGGCTTCCTGTAAGACGCTGACCAGA